AAGTTATAACCCTTAGTTAAAAATTCCAGTTTTCTTTTGTCCCACAGTTGTCAAGTTTTTGATTAATGGCTCTTTGAGAATCACTCTTTTTATCCTTTTTATCAAACTGCGTCATCTATTAATTAAGACTTTTTTTTTGCAGATTTAACTAAAAATTCTTTGAGATAATATCTTCTTTATGCACAAATAAGTCAGTATTAAGTAGTTTAACAAAGAAAGAAAACAAACAAATAAATTTACAAGTCCAGTACAAAGACTGGACTGAAAATGAGTGAAAGACCTTTTTAGAAAGCACAGAGAACTTTTGCTCAAATATGACAGACACTCTGGGTGCCTGGAATCATAATATAAAAAAAATAAGGGCTTGCTCAAGACTTTTTTGCAAAGTACTGCACTTTGTGCAATTCGTGATGTGGCGCACATGTTCAAGACAGTCACGCTGGTCCCAACCTGGCCTGATTAAGTAAACCTTTGGAGCATATGAAACATGTAGCATGGCAGAGGTGCGGCAGGCGTAAAGTTGCCACGTTGCGCTTGCAAACATTTATATGTAACTGCAGCAGGAGCTGATATTTTCCTGCTTTTTTAACAACCAAGTGTCCTACCAACTGAAAACCTGAAGGAGATTTGGGACGGGGGGAAGGGGCCCTTCCTGCCTGCATCATGATGATCATGAGTGCAGTCAGCAGACACATGATGTAGGTCTGCCAGGCTCGCCTGTTAGCTCCCTTTGCATCTCTGTCACTCCCCTCGCCGGCTCTTACAATGCTCTGAGAATGCATGCTATTCAGACAACATCGGGAAAATGTGTCAGCTGGACATCCACATTGAAATCCACTGAAGCATTTTAGAGTCTTCTGGCTCTTTTCTCCTCAAGACACAACTGTGCCTGTTAAAGAAAAAAGGGGCAATTTAGAGGGAGGCGCTCACAACATCTGATGTCTCATCCTTAACAAAAGGTGGTACTGGTTAGCATTCGCTGCTGTGATTGGATGACCGGTTCACTGTATGTTGTAAATCCCCTCTGGTAACACTTTGAATGGCTGCTGTCTATAGGCATACAGTGTTGTGTGTCATGTAGCACCCATACAGACTGAGCTCTGTATTCTGCTGGTGTGGGTAGTGACTGTTGGGCCCCTGCCAGTCCCAGGCCCTCCGATACAGCGCTCTCCAATGCTCTCCGTTTTCAAGTCTGGGCAATCTCCTCAGTGTCACGACCCTCTCCAAGCCTTTAGAAATCTCTTGTCACCCACCCAGCCAGCTCAACCAATGGTTCAGGCCTTAAACATGCAGAGAGCCCAACGGCTCGACCCCAATCTGTCACAGCCCGTCACGAGGGCCTAACCCACCTTTAGAGATGGGATGCCTCAAAGTGTGTGGTGCTGCGGGGTCTGTGCTTCTTTTCAGTCGTCCAAAATGGAAATGGTTGCCCACTATTAAAAAATTGCACACTCAATAGTTGTTTAATGACAGCTTAGTTTGGCAGGTGTCACTGAGTCCAAGAGGAAGGTTTTCTTTCCAAGACCTACACGCTCCGGTTTTATACATTTGAAGGTTTCACTCAGCTTTTCTCATGGTCAGGACACAGCGCAGCCATTATTCCTGTAATTTATTAAGGCCCGAACTGGTGTTACACAATCTTCTTTCTAAGCATGAGGGATGCTGTTGGCATGGGTTGCTGTTACCGTGGTAAATGCAAAAAAAGCCTTTTGATTTCTTGGATAAATAATTTACTTTAACTGAAATCAAGATGTGTTGGACAAATTTCTCAAAACAATTTCACTTTCTTCAAAGAGTCTGCTAGGAAACCTCAGTTAAAGGTGTTGGTGTAGTCAAGAATGTTTAAAGAGACAGCTTTGTCCACAAGTGAATTAATAATTTAGATTTACCCGTGCTGTTTAACCCGTCATAAAATATGTATATATTTTAAAAACATAGAGTTGCTGTGTTTTCTTCAAACTGCACGCACTTCTCTTCATCTCCATTTCATACCACATAGGTCCATCTCAGACATCTCACCATTGAGCTGAGAAGCCTCGGGCACCAAGCCAAATCCTCTGGCAAAGTCAGCAGCTCTTTTCCGATGTGTGGTAGGATTTCCTGAATGTTGTGCAGTAGGACTGCACCACAATCGCCTTTTTACTGCAGTAGTAAATGTTCACCCAGTCTAACAGCAGCTTTTGGAGCGATGCCATTGGGTTGTCAGAGAATTCAGTCCAGTTTTCTACATTAGATTTCTCTCTTACTGCGTCTGGTACATCAAACCAGACTCACAAAGCCTTAGCTGTTGCATCAAATCTGTTTGTATGTGTCAAACAGGAAGTTGACGCTCAGGTGGAAGAGAAGCTCCTGGGCAAAAAATGTAAGTTGCTGTTGGCAAAAGCATTTAGTGAAGGTATCAAATAATGCATCCATAGTGCCTCCTACCATTTCTAGGAGAGGAAGGGTTCAAAGGTCTCCTTGTCTCATCGATTGAAAGCAGTTTACAGGCTCTCACACACAATAGCGTTTCTTAGGTCATTGTCTAGACAACACGTGGATGCAAGCTCTAGTGAAGTGTGTTTGTAATGCAGTATTGCTTTTTTGTTATAAATAAAATCGATCACCTAAGGTTTTGTTTTCAGCGATTCAGTGTTCAAGGCTGAAGTTTTTTTTACGTTGCCACTGGTAAGCTGGAAATGCAAAGGAGTGAATAAAGGATCAGAAATTTGTGCATTCAGAAACATTGTGAAGGTCAGCATTAGTTTTTCTGGCCGTACTATTTGATGCTGCTCCTTGTCGGGGCTCCACAGGTTTGGTTACCTTAACTTATGGATGTATGTACAATACTGTGCAAAAATCTTAAAGAAAAAAATGAAAATCTGAAAATCTTTCTTTATATTTTGCTTCCAAAGAGTCAGACTTCTAGTTTTTTAACATGCTTTTGAGCAAAAGCACACCAGGCATTCTGAAGGTCTAGAAAAATCTTTTTTGGACATTGCTTTTCTGACTTAGTCCGGTCCTTGTACCTGACCATTTCCAAAGGAATGGGGTTTTATTTGTTTGTTTTATGATCTTTCAAGCATATAAAAGCACTTAATTCATGATTTTTTCTCATTTATGTAGTCGAATCTATGAAAAATATCAAAGATAACACAGTTTGACAGACATAAAAATATGTTCACACCAACTAGGTGTTTTGAAGAAACGGGACAATGGGTGAACAATAGATGAAGTGATATGCTTTAAAAAGCTACCTACAGCACATGAACATATCTGAAAGTCATGTCCTTACGGAATAGGGGACAAAAATCCAGCAGAGACCTGACACAGGACCTGAGAGATGGATCTACTATTCACTGAAGCCTCATGAGAAATGGACTCAGTGGGATGTCCTTCAAGATGCCTGGTGAACTCTTCCTGAAGAAAACTTAGAGACATTAGAAGAAAGCTTTCCTGGAAGAGTTGAGCCTATGTTGAAGAATAAAGACCAACCAGTTAGACCAAATATTTAATAACAGCTTGTTACTCTGCTTTTGACACACATGTTTCTATTTCCACTGCACTCATTTCCTGTTTTCTAGCAAAATAAATGAGGGATGCCTCAAGACATTTGCACAGTACTGTACTTGTATTGGAGAGTGAATGAACAGGATGCTGCGAGTAATTTCCTTTTTGCTGTGTTGAAATGGCACAAAAGCTTTAGATTTTACATACTAGATATGCAGCCCTCTTTTGCCACAGTATTACTAATTTCACTTGGTCTGCTTAGATTTGAAGAAGGTTTTATAAACACCGTCACCTGGTTTTTATCAGGCACACAAAAGGAAACGCAAACCTTCACTTCCTCAAACAATGAAAATGACCAAAGTCTTTCACCTCATAAAAATCATATTCTAATATTTTAGGACTTTTATTCAAAGTGCTTTAAAATTGGCCTCATTTCCTGCTTCACACACTCACACTTACATGCTGGTAGCAGCGACCTGCCATACAAGGCATTACCGCTGGGCACAATTTGTGGTTGAGTGCAGCAGTAAATTGGACCCCTTCAGGGCTGTTATTTTTCTACAGCCTGAAGGGGTTGAGAAATCAAATTTTAACCAGCTTACTTTTGCTTTTCTCTAGTATATAAATATCTTTCTTCATTCTATTGACCACAGGCTCTGAAAGCATTAGAGCTTTAGAGTTTCAAGATGATAGAGAGCTCTAATAAGATCTAATTCAGCACAATTTCAACTATAAAAAAGGTGGCACGTGAAAATTTCCTTTGGTGGTTTTGATCAGAATTACATTTTAATGCCAGCAGTCTGGGAACCCGCTGTTTATTGCTTGATGGCTTTGTTTCTGGAGATGGGGGGATATTTCCTAGTGTATTTCTGGTGTTGTCAGAGGTGTTGCCTGAGGCTGAGACTTCCTCTTCTGTCCACTAATCATTGCTTATGTATGCAAATAGTTATTTAAAAGCTAATGGGTTAATTTGGCAAATGCTTTCCCTCTTTAATGCGCTACTTAAATGGCTTACTAGGATGGTGTCAAAGTCTGCTCAGAGGTGATTGGTTAATAGCACTTAAACTACAAGTGGAATCCAAAAAGTTTCCTGTATCCATAATACAGGAACATTCTGCAAACATATTAATATGCAAATATGAGTTTCTAGAAATTAAATGTCATGTACAGCATCAGGGAAAGATGTAATGTCTGACTCGACCAGCTTTGTCTTTGCTTTTGTATACATAAAGAAAATACTGGACGCAGATATATGCACAACTCTGTCATTTTTTTATGATCAAAATCATATTGGAGTCAAATAATGAGGAGACTCTAATAGTTGTGTCAAAAATCTGTAGCTAAAGTGAAACGGAGCAACTAAAAGACTTTTGCACCAAGGATAAAACCTGAAGTTTCAGTTGTACAAACACACTAACTTTCAAAACATTTTTACCTCCGATTCAGAGTGATCTTCACTCCCATATCATCGCTCTCTCTCACTACTTTCCCTCCTCCTCCTCTCTCAGCAGGTCTAGGATGGGGCTCGCTCTGTGTGCAGCTGGGCGGCAGATCCTCTTTCCTCTGATGCTGCTGCTCTCTTTAAGCTTGGGTGAGTTCTCTGTCTCCTTCCTGCACATTCTGCTCTGCAGAAACGAATCATCGCAACAACACAAATAATAATAACAATAACAACAGACAAAGTCGACATACAGTTGGGGATAGAGATACCAGAGATAACAGGAAAGAACAAAGGGAGGTGGAGTAATCGTAGCAGAATAGAAAAGAGCCAACAACACACACACACACACACACACACACACACACACACACACATATATATATATAGACCTTGACCTAGACAGGTCTGTAATAATTTGACTGTTTTAAGTGAGACCTGACATGTTGGGGATGTTTGCAGATATGCTCAGAGGGACTGAGCTGGAACCGCTCCAAGCCCATTTATGCAAGTTTAGCCGACCATCTGTTTCATTACAACTATGCATAAAATTCACAATTACAGAACAAAAGAGAAATCATCCCCGAGCTGCAGCTCTCTATTGGATAGTATCACAGGTTTCAGGTCCCACATGCAGCCAGCTGACTGCCCGTACTAAAGATAAGTTTCTCTCTTTAATTACTTTCACTGCAATTGGCATGCACGGCAGTGGTCAGCCTGGATTTTCATTAAAACGAAAACCTGCATTGCACATTTCCAGAATCAGAGCACTACTTTACTAGTCACTGCGCTCAGACAACATACCGTTTTATCTCGCCACATTCAATAGTGTTTTGTCTGTTTTTGTTGCACAACGAAGAGTTAAAAATAAACCTGAAAGATATTCCAAGTGTTAAAAAGAAACAACAGGATTTGAGCCTGTGATTTTTTTCAGAATTGAAGGGAGCAGATAATCATCTCTGAGTTCATCACCATAAAGTCATCCTTGTGCATATAACAGAGTGTGGGCTAAACAAGATTTAAAACTGGGAAACAGAGAGAGCTATATTAAGGTTATATAAACTGTATGAACTGAAAAAAAAATGGTAAACAGTGTACAGAGTTTAGAGTAAAAACTTCACCTCAGTAGTAATGTTTTATTTCAGCAGATCTGCAACAGATACACATGATCACATTATGAGTTGATGAAAATCACAAGCAAATGCCAAAAAACTACCTTTGGCTAGTGCAAAGTGCTTTGTTAAATACAGATTTCCTCAACGCACCTCTGCAAGGTTTAACTGCTTGCATAACACTGGAACAGCCTGGGATTATTATATACCAGCCTAATGATGGATTTCTCTATAAAGGAATAGTTGCACACTTTGGGGAAAGCATCATGTTGTTGGAGCATTAGATAACAGCGTGGTTTGGCTTAGTGTGAAGGCTGAAAACAAAGCACGCCAGGATGGAACTTTCCCCCTGATGTTGAACACATTTTAAAGATTTTGTGTTGATACAGAAAAAAACTTTTGTTTTGTTATACATGGACTTAGCACAGCTTGCTGTTTCCTGCAGTTTCCAATCTTTGAAGTTAACCTGTAGCTTCACACTGTGCAGACATGTGAAAGATGATGGGGCTGGTGAAACTAAATTCAAGTACAATATGACAAACTTTTATGATATTTGGCAATTAAATACTCCAAGAAAAGTTCACATAATTTGTGAACAATATCAAGGCGCTAAACCCAGACATTTCCCAACTGACCTCAGCGTATTGGGCACACTAGGTTTAAATTTTGGCTCATAGCATTTCCATTTGAGCTATTCCAGTAAAACAGAGTGAGGAAAAAATAAAATACAATACAGTGAGCATGCATTACTTTAATCTCGTTGATTCTGCTGTGATAGGCTCAGACTTAGGCTGTTGGCCAGATTGTGTTTTTGTACAACTGATTAGCATGAAATACAATCTTTCATTTGTAGCATGCAACATTTCAGGTGTGATTTTATGCTGTTTTGTCTACATAATGAAGGGTTTGCTTGAAATTACTAAAAATTAAATCTTTGGAAGCTGAGCACTCATTTTTTAATTGATGGATTAGCAGTTACATTTCTGGGACTGCCCTTTTCAGATTTAAGTGTATTTGTGGGAGATTTTTTTATTTTTAGAAAGCATCCCTGGTGCTGACAGATCAGCTCTGACCTGGTGGGAAATGTACATGGGACCTCTGGAGGGCTGTCAAGACAGCTGACAGCACCCATGTTGATTCTCAAATGTTGGCAGCTGAACCTTTAGATCCTGCAGGTTACAGAGTGAGTCCAGTGGGGATTTTGCTTGACCTTGGACCTCGGGCTCTTCTCTGTGGTGCGGTGTGGCTCACTGGCCCGCAGTAGAGGCTGGTGCCATTGGGGAGTGCCACTGATGGGAAGAATCAGCTTAACTAAAATAATGTGCCTGTCAAAGTAACATCCACATGGATGTCACGACCTAAGGCCTCTGGAGCATTGCAGTGTAACAAGATGAGGAGTTCAATTAACTCCTGTCTGTGGTTTTAATGCACAGATAGACCTACAGTACCCGGTGATCTGCTGCAGCTGGAAGCAGATCAGAGTGCTCTGATTGGTATCCTACACACATGTGACTCTTAAGTGGTAACTGAAAGCAACATAAATAATTTTAAATTACACTTTACACTTAGAGCTTTAAAGTCCATAATAGTTGGAACAATATTGACCAAGAAGAAAAATTTATTTTTGGAACTATAGATGGGTCTGTTCATGACAGAGAGCATCCTTTCATGTTACTTCCAGCTCTTTGCCTGGGGTTTTCTTTTCTCCCCTCCCATCACCTCCAGGCTACGAGGTACACTTCCTCCATTCAGTTTGTTGGATTAACTATTTTCCTTCATCCCTCTCTCATTCCTGCTCTGCCTCTTGTTTGAGCTCTCATTCTTTTCCCTCGTATTTGTGATTCTGTGATTACATCTGATTGGGGGGAAGGCAGCGGGGGCGTCCTCTGCGCGGAGTTTCTCTCAGGGGGTTCAGTCTGTGAAAGCCGTCCAATCTAAATGCAGATAGAAATATCTTTCTGGGATTCTGTTCCTCTGTGTGCACTATTCCAAATAAAGCAGTTTTTTTCTTTTTCATACATGTGCTCTTTTTATGCCCCTGATTATTTTCTATTGTACTTGACTAACTGTGAAAATTTTAATGGTGAGCGAACAGAAAAGGCTTATGAACAAACAATGAAATACAAATAGGTAAGCAGCAGTTTATTTTTTTTTAACTATATTAAAATATACCAAAAATAAATAAATGAATGAACTGAGGGTCCTTCTGGAGACTTTAGATGTATCCTAAAATCTTCACTAGTAGTGGATGGACAATGCTCAGTCATCAAGGCAAGTGTTGGCTATCATTATAATTTATCTACATAGGTTCAACCCTCTATAAATATATAGATATAATACAATAACAGAAGTCTGGGATGTTACAGTAAGGTGCATAGTGTGGCAAAAAATGTCAGACGAATGTAGGAAATAGTCATATCTGTACAGGTGATGGTGTTGTCATGGTTACATTAAACCTGTATGTCATGGCAACCAGACTGAGTTAGTTGCTGATATCAATCTGCAGAACTCTATTTTGTGCACAGAAAGTGGCATTGCTTCTTCTCCAGAAATCATTTTTTGAATTCTGATTAAAGGAGTTTGAGTGAAGGATAGGCTCATAAAAATAATATTATTGTAATAACTAATACTTATTGATTTATCTTAATTCCATCCTGTAACTTTGCTGGAACAATAAAACATGTGAGTGTGAAACAACTAATGCCATATCGCGTTAGTCAGTTTGGTTTTATAAATTTCAATACAGCCTAAACCTCCTGTGTACGTGCAACTTTTTATGCGTATAATGACCAAAATCTACCAGAAGACATCATTCATGTATGTACAGTAGTGTGCAAAAGTCTTGAGCCAACCATCATCTCTTTATATTTTGCTGGAAACATGGGAACTAGATGGAGTGGTTTATTGAAACATGTGCAGACATACATGGAAATACAGTATATGAGGCAAAAACAGAGTTTTCGCAATTCTAATGAGCATCAAAGTCAGTAATTGGTAAGAAGCCCTTTATTCTTCAGCACAGCCTGAACTCTCTTAGACAGCTTTCTGTTAATTTCATTGTTGGCAAAGATTTATACCAAAATGTTCAAATTTGGATTCCCTCCACAAAACCTCTCTCCCAACTTCCTCTGTAGGTGACCAAAAATTCAAATCACTCCATAAGACCTGCTGACCTGTTGCTAATTTTTCAGAACATGGCACATGGCATTTGGCATTCCTCAGCCTTTTCTCTCTGTTTCCCTTAATTAAGAATGGCTTCTTGACAGCCAGCCTTCCACTGAGACTATCTATCTATCTATCTATCTATCTATCTATCTATCTATCTATCTATCTATCTATCTATCTATCTATCTATCTATCTATCTATCTATCTTTTAAATTCAGTTGAAGATTTTTTTTAGAAATCCTTTTTGTTTTGTTTTTTAATTTTGCCAGTTGCCAATCTATCTATCTAGATATAGATATAGATATATTCTTTCCATTGTTTTCATTTCTTCTAAGCTAAATTTCCTTGAACACATTGCATAATCATGTTTGTTCTCTTGTTCATCCTCTCCAGGTGCAACCTCCTCCATTGTGAACATGCGTAGGATCACTCATCCTACAGTGCAACAAATGTTGGCAGGCAAAGCCACTCTGCCTTGTGTCTTCACCCTCCAGACCAGCACCTCCACTGGGCCTCCTCACCTCCTGTGGACTCGTACTAGGCTAGCAGGGGGAGGACAAGGTGCTCCTTCGGAGCAGACTGTGCTTTCTGCTAAAGGTAAAACAACAACCTAATGTTCCTGTTTCACTGAGTCAGCAGTATTCTGACTTTATTCAGTCAGAATACCCAGTGAGACTTAAAGCTACACTAATCAATAGTTTTGTATCAACAACAGATCAAATGTGTATGTGTGAGGTGTTGTTCACAGATATTAGCTGACTCAGCTGGCCAGGCTGCAGTATTTATAGAATTTATCTTAAGGCCACAAAAGAAAAAAGGGGAAAATATCTTAACAAGCTGATGGTAACAGCTCCTGGAATAAAAGTGAAATAAACCTGCGCTTCTAAATGTCCAGATCTGCTTGAGCAGTGCTGATTAAATCCATCCACAGGGTACCATACAGCAGACAACTTAACATTTTATCGGGCACAGCTGCCAGCTGTTTTCAGTGAAAGAGCTCTTACAACGCACTGTAGAAAATTGCTAGCACATAGCATAAAGCATTCAGCAGCAAAAAAGTCACATTTACCTCAGAAATGTGCAGAGATCAGGTGGAGAAAGAAATATAACACAAAATTAATGCTAATGTTGTTCCGTATGTGTTTGATATGCAAACGTGAAACTGTTTGCTAACATGTTGTGCAGTTTATAATTTTGAGACTCACGGGGTTAACTAAGTGCTGCAACGCTCAACAAGAAGTATGCAAATACTAGGAGGGAGGCAAAGACTACATTTGCCCAGGGCAGAACAGGGGCACAGGTGCATACAGGCAGGAAATAAACAAAGGCAGGAAGTGGAGGACCTGAAATTAGAGACATAACTCCCAAAACAAAACAGGAAGCAGAGAAATCAAGGACAAAACATACTTCCTTTAAGATTGTGGATCTGTCTAAATGTCAGATCTCTGCAGCAAACAGTGACTTTCTCAAACAACTGGTGAGAAAAGACTAAAAACCAAAAACCATGTCAGGGGGGTAACTGTTCTAACTTTGTTGGACAGTTAGGTGTTAGTGGGTCGCAAACATGTAGCAAAGTTTATTTTCTACCTCTAAAATCTCTTTAATGATGAAACCTCTCTTTCTGTGCCCAAGGCGATGTAATCAAGGTGAATAAGGCTTTCAGTGGTCGCATCATGCTGCCAGGATACGCTGCCAACCCTCTGAATGCTACCATGGAGATCTCCAGCCTCCGTACCAACGACTCAGGCACTTACCACTGTCAGGTTGTCATGGGCAACGACTATGAGAAGGACACTGTTCCCCTGGTGGTGTCCGGTAAGTGCAGCAGCCGCCGCCGAGACATTTCTGTGTGAGGAAAGTTTAGGGCCCCGAAGGAAACATATAGGCTAAGCACAAGTGATGCACAGAGGTAGAAGTGCATTAACTCGAAGGGCTTTAAAATTCCTCTTCCAGCTTAATTGATTTTGGTGTTTTATTGCAGCCAAGCCTTGTTGTGCTAATGTAAAACAGATAATGGTGGCTTTTAAAACAGAAGCACCTCATGCCCGCAAACCACTTTTTTTTGCTTTTTTATTTAATTAAGCATTAATAACATTGATTCACTCTATCGATATTATAATGACTGCTTTAATTAATGTAGCGTCATGCTTTCTGTGCTTGTTTTGTTTTTGTTATCTTGTTTTCCGCTTGAACAATTGTGTTATTCGTTTAATTAAAGTGTTTGCACTGAATACCAAAACCGGTTTCTCTCGTGTCTCTTTTTTTTCTTTTTCTGTGTGCTCATGTGTGAAATTTCAGGCGAAACTAGAGTATCTTTGCTTGATCTGTTTGTGGCCCCTAATAACATGTTCGCTGATTACATTCCCCCGATGTATTGATTCTGACTGTGTTGGTATATCTGTCAAATTAAAAGGAATTAAAACAGTTTGCCACCTGTCTCTGGGTCTGTCTGTGTAGGTGTGGTGTTTCACTACCGGTCTCCCAGCGCTCGTTACGCCCTCTCGTTTAGTGACGCCCAGCGAGCCTGTCAGGAAAACTCGGCTCAGATCGCCACTCCGGCCCAGCTGTGGGCAGCGTACCATGACAACTTCGGCAGCTGTGCTGCTGGCTGGTTGGATGATCAGACTGTTCGGTGAGGAGACGATCAATAAGTTCTCTTCTCTTGCTCGCTGCTTGCACTTTCTGCAACACTGTGGCGCTTTGAAGGACTGAAACTAATGACTATCCTGTTTGCTTCCTCTCTTCTTGGATCATCTGCTTTCTCTATTAATATTCCTCAGTTCTTTTTGCCGCTTCATCTACTTTAAGATCGTGTTCTTTTCTGTGTTGCTGTTTCTTTGCTATTAATTTTATTCTAATTTATTCTAATCCCCTACCCTTTAAAAGAGAATGCAAATAGGAATTTATTCTTTACTGATATTTAAAGTCTTAATGAAAAGAAACACTTTGATATATGATCTAACACATTTGTCACGCAGTAAAATGTCCAAGTTATTATTATTTTGAAACAAAAGCAAAAAGTTTCTTACATCACTCCCAAATGGTTTTCTCCACAGATATGCTGTCCAGGTTCCAGAGCTTGGCTGCTACGGACATAAGGAGTACTCTGCTGGAGTGAGGAATTATGGGAAGAGGGACCCAAAAGAGCTGTTTGATGTGTACTGTTTTGCAAAAGAATTGGATGGTACACAAACACACACTCACATTTATGCACACACAAACACACACAAGAGAAGATATAAAACAGCATCAAGAGCTCTCACAGCTTTTGGCTGGTTTGCATCATATTCTGCTACAACATTAAAGGGATAAGTCAGGACTTTTATTTAAGTGTTCTTACTGTTCTCACCAAATCAAGTGAAAAGACACAGACCAAACCCACATGTACACATGTGAAAGAAAGTCAGCAATCCAAAATAACAATAAAAAAACACCATTAAAGTTCATGTGCTACAAAATCATGGCTCCCTATTTTTTATTATTTGCGTTTTTTTATATGAAAATATTCACATTTTCAATACTTTCAGTAGGAATTTTGGCCTTTAAGCCACGCGTGCTGCAGAAACTTAAAAAGAAACAACAACGTAAAATGATTTTACAGATCTACAAAGAGTCCTGTGAAAAACTAAATACTGCCCTCAAAGGAGTAAAAAAAAAAAATTAAACAAAACAAAACACACACACACACACACACACACACACACACACATATATATATATATATTACTGTGCATGTGCCAGTCTTCCTTATCCACTTTCTTCTCCTCCACCTCCTCTGTAAGATATATACAGTCTTGTGAAAAACTAAGTGCACCTTACTGTTTTCATGGGAATTAAAATGGTAAGGTACAGACAGGTGCAGCTAATCAAACCAACTTGATTAACTGATCTGGAGCAAGTGTATAAACGCATAGGTTTTCTTCAGGTGTGTTCTCACAATGCCTCTATCTTCTCAGGAGTGAAGGTCCCCGCAAATTCAGCCCAAAGTCAGACCGTGCAACACTCGGAGAAACTGCAAAAACCCAAGACTCATGTCTCAGAATCTGCAAGCCTCAGTTAGCATGTTAAATGTTTGCGATAGTACAATTAGAAAAAAGACTGAGCAACTTGTTTGTGAACAAACCACGTGACTTCTTGAACAATGTCTGTTGTACAGACGAGACCAAAGTGGACATGTTTGGCCACAATGCACAAAATTCAAACGCAGCTTATTAGCTCAAACATCTCAAAAACAGGACCTGGACACCTGCAGTTACTGAGTTGAACATGAACTCATCTTTATACCAAAATACTTTAGATTATAGAGTCAAATGAATTTGTCTGTCCAATAGCTAAAGTTGGGTCATGTGACAGTACAATGAGAAATTAAGAAAACAATCAAAGGTCAGACCTCAACTTCATTGAAATGCTCTGGTGGGACATCAAGAGAGCTGTGCATGAATGAATGCCTGCAAACCTCCATGAAACGAAGCAACATTTTATGGATGAGTGGGCTGAAATTCCTCCATAATAATGTTAGAGACTGAAAAAGTCATACAGATAACGTTATTGAGTTATTGCTGCTAACGGTGGTTCTACAAACTGTTAAATCATAGGGTGTACTTTACTTTAGAATACCACCAGCCTCATTATTTTACCTCGAGCACTATTATATAACATTATGTGGCATTTCAGTTATTTAACCTATTAGAAATTTGACAGGCATCATCTGCTGTCTCTTTTGTTTCCCTGCTCCAGGCGAGGTGTTTCACTCCTCGGTCCCAGGCAGACTGTCACTTTCTTCTGCCTCCGACCGCTGTGTGTCCCTTGGGGGCCAGCTGGCCACAGTGGGGCAGCTGTACTTGGCCTGGAGGGCCGGCCTGGACAGCTGTGCCCCAGGCTGGTTGTCTGATGGCAGCGTCCGCTACCCAGTGACCTGGCCTCGTGCTGACTGTGGAGGGACAGAGCCAGGAGTCCGCACGGTCACGCCCAATGACACCGCTGACAACACTACAGCACTATATGATGCCTACTGCTACAGAGGTATGGTGGCCTAGGGGGTCAAATGATGTTTGTTAATTAAGTATTAACACAGCAGAAAACATCAATACAGTGAATTTATAGTATGATAAGGTTATGTAACATAGAATATTGTTTTATTTCCCATACAGGAATTAATAATGACTACAGGCATGATTACATACACAGATGTGACTAACATATCATTCCCAAACAAAGCCTTGAGTGTTATTAATGCAGGAACAATGACAATAAATGTCACTGCCAATGTTGTAGCTATGGCAACACTTGTTTCTGATTCATATCTGAGAAACTGTTGGATTGACAGAAGCTGTGGGAGAGAAAGAGAGAGAGAGAGAGGGAAAAGACGGGGTATGCTTAAGTTTAATATCTGGATGCTCAGCTGTCAGTTCAGGCTTTTGTGCTGACTAATATCGTCAAAATTAAAACTCGGTAAAGATTTTAGAGGCAAAAACCTTCAGTGAATGTCATACAAACAGCAAATCTCTTTGCCCTGTTTCCTAGGTAAAGTGAAGAACACAGGCTCCATCTCTCAGATCTACACCTCCCTGTGGAAGCCCTGGAGCTACCTTGCAGGCTCGAGCGATGCTGACTCTACAGGGACAGCTAGTCCCGACGTGACTTCACAACAAACCACCACGATCAGAGGTGTTACATTTATCTGCAGTAGGCACATGAACCAGTCACGCCAACCATCTGGTTAACCAGAAAATTTGCTCATCCAATCAGTCGATGTAGACAGTGAGAATTAATGTAACATAGAAGAGTTAAAAGTGTATTTTTCTTTGCACAGAGTCACCAGATGACAGCGAGCTTTCACCTTCCAATTGGACAGGATTGGTTGACCTAGAAGAGGAGGACTCCTTTCACAGTGCTGATGCCTGTAAGTACAAATGCTAATACTGACTCCCGTAAGAAAGAAAACTGGGTTTGATGGGCAAAGACAGCACAAATGAACATTCACATCATTGTCTCAAGCCTCAGACCCCTGGTCCTCAGAGTCCTCGACAACATATGTAACCCTCCAGTTAATCCCGGGACAGAACTCCTTTGACTGGGGAGAGTCACTGGAGCCTGGACCCGACTCTGAGGAGTTTCTCCTGCCCCCAGTCCATCCAACTCCTCCTGAGAAGAAGGTTGGTTTTAAAATTCTGTTGGGACACTTTAAACACTGAAACAGGGACTTTGTATTGAAAAAAAACTTT